AATAATGTCACAACTTATAAAACTCGTTTTGGACGTTTTTAAAATGTAACGGAACTACTTCTACTTAAAATCCATTTAAATACAAAAAAAAATACCTGACTTTTTCATTGAACTGCTGTATTTAAAAATAAAGCCATTACAATGAAATCGTAGCATAGTCGGGACGGAACATATTGAACATATTTGCATGACTGAAAGTAATATCACTTTTAAATAAACGCTTCAATGCGGATCAGTAGATAGTATGTATATTTAATAATATTAATAAAAGTCTAGTAAAATCTATAATTTTCATTTCTATAATAATTCCTCTAGACCTATGATATGTCCCTCCCAATATGTTCTGTCTCCACTATACCCCAATCCCACAGTACAGTTTTTTTTTGGTTTTACTATTATAAAGAAATAGTTTGTCTACAGATTTGTAAGAAAACCCTATCTGTTATAGATTCACTCTAGATCTACCTTTAGACTAATGTTCAGACCCTTAGTCTTAAAACTTCAATAAAAAAAGGGGAAAATAAAGAAAAAAATACTACCTCTTCTAGAGTAATCTTATTTTGTTTTGTCAATTTTTATCGATAACACTTTTTCTTAAGAATATGCCATAACAATTTGGAACTGTTTCGACTATTTTAAATATTATATATATATATACTATTTGCATATTTTTTTCATTTTAAGGGGAAAGAGTGAACTTTTAAAATGTTGGCCCAATAAAGTACCTGTCATACAACATAAGTGTAAAAACAGTACTTTTTCAGCTGCGCATTGAAACTAAAAATGAAGCGTTGGGGAAAATGTTTATAGATTCAATAAAATTCATATTATTGTTAAAATAATACTGGTATCCTCAGCTACATGTCGATGCTGACATACTTTCCAAAGCTTAAAATAAGTTGGGTCATTTTATGTGCCTGCATTAACGTTATGAAAAATTGACTGTGGACTTATGTCTATTATAACGTGGACCTGAATCCAAGAATAAGTGCAGCGTATGGGCTGGTTGACAAATAACGTCCATAAAATTACTATGAATCATTGTTTAAATACACTGGGACATTATGTATCGTATTTAAAACACAGCGAACGTGTTTAAAATTCAAAATCGTTTATCCAACAACCGACACGGTACTGTTACTGTTCGGTCGGATAGATTTTCTCTAGCTATTAGTCATAGTTTATTTATGATATTTACTGTTTAACCACTCGTTCCTGAAAAATAGTTTAAACGGACAATATACCGGGTGATTGGTTAACTATGGACCAGTCAATAACTTAGAAGATATTAGAATTTTTTTAATTATTTTTTTTTATAATTTTATTGTTACTAGTTGGGACAAATTTAGTATTTTTTTTTTAAACTATATCTCCGTACCTTATATGTTAAAATCTTATAAGCTTGAGTTTTTTTTAAATAGTAACGTATATATTTGAATAACTATTTGAGTTAAGTATAATTTGCTGAATATTTTGACTGGTCGATAACCAGTTATGGACAATTTGTTTTCAAGTTATTTAATTTTAAAAGTTATGACTGGAGGAGAAGGCGGTTGATAAAAACATCTCTAATCTCCACCCTTCCTCCCGACCTAAATTTTAAACTTGAATAACTTGAAAACTAATCATCCAAAACTGGTTATCGACCAGTTAAAATGTTCAGCAAATTTTTCTTAATTAAAAAGTTAATATAATGTATACGTTACCATTTAAAATTCTTGAGTTCATGCGGTTTTAACATATAAGGGATAGGGTTATATTTTTCAAAAATATATTAAATTTGTCCCAACAAATAACTATAAAATTACAAAAAAAAAATAATTAAACAAATTCTAATATCTTCTAAGTTATTGACCGGTCCATAGTTAACCCGGTATAGATAGTTCTTGGATCATTATTTTATACTCTAGTGAGATTAAAACAAACGTTTAGCGTGCCTGATCAACTTAAAAAAATAAATTATGTTTCTCAACATAAACAATTAAATCGCTATAATTTCTTATATGGTCGGATCGACCTCAATTCAACTAGTCCACGTAGTTTTCCATTATACGCAGCAATTTGTAAGCATTTCAAAAAACACAATATTTTATTCAATTATATAAAACAAGAATCGAAATGTGGGGTTGAAAATAAAATAATCGATTCACTCGTTAGAGATGTACAACGTTAATAATAAATATTCCAGCCGAATAGTCGACTAAAATCGACTTAATCATAAAGGCGTAACGTTAACGCATCTTCTAGCGGAGGCTTGTGAATACTTGGATGTACTCACATACACACAAGTATACAATCCTATGTTCACACAATACACGACCATGTAATACATATTATTTTATTATTGCAGCTTAGCCGTTGTGAGCAATATTTTATTAGACAGCGTCTAAGCGCGCCCTATCTACATTGTACAGTGTACAGAATGATAGTATATATATGTATATTATCATATAGTTGAGTGCATGACACCTACGTGGCTTATTGTCAATAATTTAATTCTCATAAGTATTCTGTATTATGTCTAACCGGCTAATAATAATTTAATAACATCGCGTCATTTCCAAACCGGTGTTTGTGTCTATTGGGTAAGGAATCACGGTCAGGCGAAATGGCGTTGGCGTGGATGACATCACAAGAATGGAGTTATGCTATTTTCCATGTTCGCTTTACACACAATACAAAACACACGCCACAGTGTACCGTATGATATCATACGGGCATGATTATTAACTTTAAAACAATATATATTATCTACACATATGGCCGATGGCTACCAGATGTGTTGATGTACCGAACGGGCCGAACTACCGCTACGTCCGCTGCCGCCCAAAAAGAAATACTGTTAAATATATTAGTTTACAAAACCGAAAGTAGTATGTTATTATAGTTTATAACTCTAAAAGCAAAATAAAAGCAAAAAAAAAAACCCGAAAAATAGATGATCGGCATCGATTAATGGATAATTATATGGTAGTCGTGGACCGAAGGGAGAGGCCGAGACGTACAAATATTTTGTATACATATATTTATATATATAAATTTAACTTTTGATTTGGCAAAGTTTTTTACAAAAAAAAAAAACAAAAAATATATTTATATACTTATTCAAGTATAGACCAGTTTTAATTGTAATATTAGCTGCGAAGCGTAGCTGAGAAGGTTTTGTTTTACAATGATGTGTTAATATATTTTTTTTTTTTTTATCTGGACTCACGATATCTTTTACACTTCTGAACCGATTTCTTAATTTAGTTACTCAACATATCAAAAATCGTACCTCAAAGGTACCTTACTTGCCCAAAACTTGAAAAGTTAACCCCTTTGCCTTCAAAATCGTAAAATCACCCAAAAAATGTACATATTTTTCAATTTAAAATTACCGTGCGTTATAACTTTTTTAAACATAGTCTAATTAATTCTACATTTGTATGGAATATATTTTAGATAAATCAAAAAAAGATAAAAAGCTTTTCTCCTAGTAAAAGGGGTAGAAACTTTTTCTTTATTTCTCTTTTTCCAGCATACTTTTAGGACTGAAGGCTTGAAAATTAGACTGGTGGTAGATTTAGTGAGGGGTTGTAACATATGAAGACCACAAGGCAAAAATGATGAAACCCACATGGTAGTCGAAAATTAGTTAAGGTTGGCAACACTTCACCAAGACTTTTCAGTAGAAACTAACTCCCGTGCAAAATAAATGGCTCCCTAGCCACAATCGGGCTGTCAAGTTTTGGACCACAAAACAAAAACCCAGACTGGAACTTTGAAAATCGATTTTCTCAAAAAATCTATTGTCAAATTTTTTTTTATTGAGGAAAACTCAAAAAAGGGGAAAATTATACTTTGACCGTAGTAAATTTCTAGGTAGCAATTGAATCAACAGTGAACAGGTTTCCTAAAAATAGTTACATTATATTATTAATTATACGATACAATATGGATAACAACGGCAACAAATTATTATACACAGACGACCAACGACTTTAAGTACATTAATTTCAACTTAAATTATTCATGGATAAATAGATTTTTAAAAAAATCAGTACTTGTTAGTGCAGTAATATTAATGCTCCGATTAAAAAAAAAATGGTACCAACATAAAATTAATACAACAAATATATCAATTTAAGGGTTTGTAGTTTGATATAAGCTTTTAACTGTAATTATTTTTTTGACAAGGATATGTCTTATGGCGGGGGGTCATTCAGAAAATGTAGATATGTTAAGTGTCACAGTGCTGACGTCATTAATATTACGTCATGGAGGAGGATTACGATGGGATATAATTGTTTTATCAATTGGATTCGTTTGTTGTTTGTATATTGTTTATATTCCTATTTTTTTAGGTTCGGTATAACCAGGACTTCGAGTTACTTCACCGGGGAAGTCGTGGTCGACGATTCTAAAGCTACTTAAGAGTAAAGATCCATCATTTGATATTACACGGTCATTATTAAAAAACGTCTCATTTTAAAAGTATTAAAAAAATGGCAGGCAAAACTCATCATCACATAAAATAGGCTCAGCAGTGGTGATTATCTTGTCCCTGGGGTTTATTGACTTTGGAGTTCGTCACGGCAATGCCGACGGTCACGATTATGTGTATAAGATATACCCACATTAGATTTAGCCAACAATACTCATCAAGAGTTAAGTATGAGGATTAAATAAATACGCGAGCCTTAAACTTTTACCGCCAAGCCCGTGTTACAAATCAACGGTTTGTCGTGTAAACACTGCAGCGAAATGCCGCCTCGGGGCACAATAAATGTCACTTTGTTTGTGCGCTTAGTGCACAGCCTACAAGAAGGAGCCATGGCCCTTCGTTGACAATCCAGTTTTTCCGGTATACAAACATGGGCGACTTTCGGCGCAGTGTTACTTTTCACTTCAAGACGAGAACCTCCGACGCCTCGAGGCCGGAAACGCGCGGCACAAGAAACAAGCTCGGCGAGTAATTCATTTAAGATATATGTAGTAAAAAAAAAAAAAACACTTACCAGAAGTCCGAGAACAACCCAACTCATCCGTCCGGTCCAAACAGTCTTCAACACCGTTGCACCGTCTCCAACTCAAAATGCACCTGCCACCGTCACATTGGAATTGGCCGGGTGCACATGCTAAAACATTACAAACGACGTTTGATTATGACAAACTTTGTTACAACGAAAAGCCTTGATTAGCTTCAAGGCTTAATTATATTGTTGTAATGTATGCATTGTATGTTTTAGAACGTTTAATTACAAAATGTAATGAAATTTAAACGCCATCCAATATTTTAGAAAACGGTTTAAAAATAAATCAAGTAATTCGCTCTAAATAAATGTCCACGCGGGTTTATGGTAAAGTCGTTATCCACTACGCTGAGGTGTCATTTTTTAAGGCTGTGAAATGGTCACCGCTTTACTCCTCCCCCCTTATCCTTTAAACACTTTAAAGTCACATCCCAAAAATTTGGGGAGTCAGCTTGGATTGTCTACATGACATATTTAAATAAAAAGGTACTTCTCTAAAGTAGACCTGGATCAAGAAACTTGCAGAACGATTGAGGAACCGTTAAGGAATTTCTCATTTCTGCATAAATAAGCTTAGAATTTCAACTACATGCTATTATTTAAAAAAAATTAAATCTTTTAGAAATTATAGATTCAACTAAATACCACTAGAATTTCCGGGGAACTTGAGTAAGTTTCGATAGTAATCACTATTTTCAATGTTATCTAGCCTCCAACATATTGGGATTCACCGTCAAAAATCCAATAAGACAGTGTGACAACTCGTTTTCCCATGCTTTGGATTATGTGAGTTTTGTGTTCAGCTTATTCCCTTTTAAATGGGTTAAATTTAGCAACCAAAATATTTGAAGTGCAAAGAATAAATTATTTTGTATGCTCGTTAGTTGGTCCAAAGGTGAATACTTAACATTTTGACTGAAACACAGTATGAATAGTTTGAAAGTTTTTGATAAACCAGAATATAACATAATCTCGGTTTAATACTTTTTACTATTATGATTTACACCACTTGTATACGTAGTTTCAATAATGTATGGCAAACTCTGATCGTTTTGCTACCGAGATGATTATTACAAGTACATACTTACATTGATCGTGCGTTTGTTTACTTTAAACTAGCAACGTTTGACTTTGAGACATATAATTATAATACTGACAAGTTCAATTATGAATTCTGCTGAATGTTGTTAATTGTCATCAGAAAAACATAAAACGATAAAGTTCGATAGAAATTAAACAATATTATTCATCAAGCGAGGCAAAATAAATGTTATACTACGTGTGGAACTACCAAGTTATTCGGTATCACTAATTGGCAATTAAGCAAATACTTGGAGCATCTATTTAAGTCAAAAGTAAGTATTTGTATAATACTTAACCAAAAATAATTACAAATCGAACTGTTTCTTCGTTTAAGTCAAACAATGCGGCTTGTGGTATTTTATAATAAGTACAAGTTTATTAAAAAAAAAAAGGCAGAAACGATCGTAACTGGTTAGTGCGTGTGACGTGGTCAAAATGTCCTCATTACAACAGACATATATCATTTTTTTTCAATGCGACTAAATGTTATGTTTTATTACATTATTTAAATTTTTCGAAAGTTTAGCAGTACTATAAATATTAATGTTACACGGTTCTGCTCGTAAGATTATAATAGTTATAAAATAATATACAAGACGCTAAATGTTATGAAATAGAAGATAAACTAAAAGTGTAGTTATCAAAAACCGTTTGGTTTGCTATTCATACTTGGATACAGTACATTTTTTCGAGAACATAAAGTCAGTTGTTAAAATGTATATTCATGTCAATAGCTTTAGAGTTTAAATAAATTCAGTTATAAGCGTTTGCCTTGTTTTATGTATAAGGCTACACAGCTGGGAGTGGAACTTTCAGCACCCGGATTTAAATAAGATGGATTCTTCAATTGTTAAGTCTAAAAAATGTGCTATATTATCAAAAAGACAAAACTGAAAAATATTACTTTTGTAAGTTCAAATTTTTCGAATTTAAAAGCTTTTTGATTTTTTAAATTCATTCTCTACAAGTAATTATATTGATGTTAATACGATTTTTAATTTTATTATTCTACTTACTTTTGAGTTTTTTGTTAGCCGAGTTATTAATTTTAGCCACTTTAATTACTCCTCAAGTTTTTGTAAAATACATTACTAATAATTTGATTAAGTAAAGTATTATAAAGTACACATTTTTTATATGCGTTTAGATATAAAAAATCGAAAAAAACTTCTTATGAAATAAAAATGCTATCGCAAATAAGTTCTCAAAAATAAAAAATTCTAATACACAATGATAAATGGTTACATGGTTTCAAATATTTTTTCTGAACTCGTTTTTAAACTGTAAATAGAACTTAATAAACAATAGTAAAACCAGAGTTTAAAAATAAAAATAAAATTCTTAAATTTCCCGTCATAAAAAAAAACAATGACATAAGTTTGGCATATTTATTTGTCCAAAAGCAAATATATGTTGTTATAATATCTTTCTGTACATACACCAGCGTGTAATGCCGCTGGTGTTCTAGCAAACAATATGTAATTGCACATCATTTGTCGAGTACACTACATGTATTCATATATCGAGCGGACTACAATATAAAAATTTAAATTTCCTCCTAGCTGTCTATATAAAGACACTCATTAGCGTGTGTTTATCTAGTTAAATAAATCTATGAATTAGAAAGTAGATTTGTGCGGATCGAGAAACAATTGAAGACGTATACTCGACTAATGAAAAACAAACAATACACATGTGCATACATATTATTATTGAGTGCATGAAATGAAAAAATCGCTTTATATGCATAGCCGACAAATGGCTAATGGACTGGCCTCAAAAAATAAACGCGTGTCAAGAAACTTGATTTAGAGTTAATTCGGTACGCCAATAATATCAAAAATCCTAATTAACTTTAGTGAATATGTTTAAACTACACCATTAAAAAAAAAAATGTCATCAAAATTATCATTAAACAATTTTAAATCTTTTACTCTTTACCACACATTTTTTTTAATCCTAAATATGTGTTTTAAGAAAAATAAACGTATTTTTTACCTAGGTAATGTTTTAATAATTTATTATGTGAATCGATTATTTTTTTATAAAAATAAATAGATATTATATATTTACATTTTTAGCTTCGGTGCGGAGCTGAGAAGGTATTGTTTTTACCATGATGTGTTTTTATTTTTTATTTATGTTTTAGAGATTTAGATCTGAAAATTAGACCGAAGGTAGATCTAAAATGGAACTATAACATATACAATTTTCTCAAAGATCTATAGTCAAATTTTTTTTTTATTAAGGAAAACCACCAAAAATAGGGTAAATTTACACTTTGGCCGTAGTCAGTTTTTAGGTTGCTATGTGCGAGTGAATCAACAGTCATCAGGTAATGAAATATTTTTATTAATTGTTAATTACGATATATGGGTAACTATGACAGTACATTTTTATCGACAGACGATCAACCCTTATCGTATCCACCCTGCACAAGACTTGATATTAAATTTTAAGTACATTATTGCTGGTCCCACGATATTTTCTAAACCACTAAATCAGTAATAATTACATTATTTTATTGATTTCTCACGAATCATAACAAAATAAAAAGATGTCTTATGATAACAGATAATAAGTCGATATTTTTATTTTATACATAATTTAAAAAAATATTAAAGTTGTTTTAACTTTTTTAAACTTATTTCAACTCTACCATGTAAAACGTATTATAAACAATTTATAATTTAAACAAAAGTTTCAATCTTGGACGTAGACAGGTTGAAACCTTTTTTTTTCTAAACCCCGAAACAATTGGGTTTAATATCAAAATGACATATAGCCTACAGTGATGAATTAACTTAAAAAACAGTGTTTCATTGTACTAATTCAGTCGAGTGAATCGAAACAGTTGTATCGAGTCCTATTATATCGTGTGGTAGAATGAGAACACAGCAGGTTAAATTCTGTTTTGAGGAAAAGCGGTTTAGGTGTTTTCGAGACAACAGTCCAGCGGAAGAGGCAACACAAGTCAACCCTAATTGTTCAACGAAAAAATACAAATACCGAGTTAAGTCATAATTGCGATCGTTGCCCCATTAAGTGACGTTGATTTAGAAGGTTCTCCAATTACGATTATACCGTCGGCTGAGTTCAAAGTGACACCTCTCCATACCCTTAGGGGGATTATGAATACAGCACATACATATAAATCATATAACCGCGATGAGTTATTGCGTGTGTCGCGCTCCAGTTTCTTTTTAATCTCGAGTGATTTACATTTTGATCTCCTAGACTATGTGTACAGCAAAGCTGTTATTAGAGCATAATAAGATCGTTTGTATAATATTATATCGTTCACAGAGTACCATCAGCGTACTATTGGTGAGAATAAAAGGGGTATTTTGTCGACAACAAGCCTAAAGCCAAAATAGTTTAAAAGTAATTATAATAATTTATTATTAACGCGAATTATTTCTCACAGTTTTCGAACGGAGACAAAGTAAAACTATAAATATTATATTATGGCTTACAACGGTAAATCCGAACGCGGAAAAAACATAGGTCGACTGGTATTTAGTTTCTACTTGACATGTTTAAGTATTCAGTGTACACACAAAAATCGTCCAATACATGTTTTCGAATAATCGATAGTTAACTTAGACAAATTAAATTGCTCTCGTATATCAATGTAAATTTTCAATCGAAAACAAACAATGGTTATTATTCAGTCAGTGGTATTTCTTACTATTTTATAGTTTTACGTACGATTTTTCGTCAAGTACTTGATCGTTTAAATGGTTACGAATATCGAAATAAAAACATCAACATATCTTGGAACTACAAAAAATCACGGGTATCGGTTTTTACACAAGGGTGGTAATTTTGAAATAATAAAAACAATAGATGGAAATATAGTCGTTTCGATGGCGGTCAACAAGCTGAATTTTAACGAGCGTACGGTTAGAGTATAACTAATTGAATAGAATTAGCGAGACAAACGCGTATGGCGCGAGCAAAGAGTACAATTTTAATCAGTCCTAGACAGGGTTGCCAACTATCAAATTTAAAATAACCGGCTTTAAATAAATTTTATATGTTAAATATAAAATATTTTGAACTTACATTGGTTATAACATTTAGAAATAACAAAATTATTATCATACAGATAAAATGTATACCTAATCATTATTATTTTGTCATTATCAAATATTATTTATGAATAATGGACATGTACGTCTGGAATCAGCTGCTGTCAGTCGGCAGCTCGACACTGGGCAGTCGTGCAGTCCTACCATATGACAACAAAAAAGGTTATTGCATTAACAACTTGGTAGAAAAGAATAATAAAGTATAGTGATAAATCATTGACAACATACATTTATTTATGATAAATAAAATAACCGGCCTTTTTATATGGCCGGTTTGATGCAAAACCGGCAGCCGACCTAGGTATTAAAAAACCGGTTAGGCCGGCCAAAAACCGGTCGGTTGGCAACCCTGGTCCTAGAAAAAGAAAATTTGTTGTTGCGTTGTGATTGTTATCCTCGTATTGGACTCTATTCTGAACGTGAAAGAATAAAAAGATTTACACTCGAACGGTGTACGATGGCTGATTGTCGGTACACGACCGAGTTGTGTACGATTGTATAAATCGGAAAACACGAGTTATTTTGCATAAGATAAACACACGTCGGCGTCCTCACGTTCTGCCTTTCCCTCTTGGCTCTTACGGTCGCGTTATAGTCTTTGATGGAATTCGCAGAATGCGCTCAACTCTGGTTTGTCTGAAATTTCCAAAGGCTAGCGAAAGAGCAAAAAAAAAAAATATATATATATACATATATATTTACAACTTGCCGCGGGACATAATAAAAATATGGCAGTAATAATTTGCGGTTGTTTATGTGGGTCGGCCGGCAGATTTATTGGACGGGAAAAATCATATTTTTAATGCCAGTATCGTACGCACGATATTTACCGCCGTTGAAGTTTCCATAGATCACGCGGTGCTTTTATTTTATTTTTTCTAAATATTTACCTTAACAACAAGACTAGTGTTTTTTTTTTCAAAACGCGTGGGTAATTCGTTGTTTTTTTTTTGGCCAACATGTTCATCGACGGCCGGTTTTTCTTACCTCCTCCCCCCTCCGCTTTGCCGTGTGTTAACAAAACCCCATTTTATATTATTGTGTAAAACTGTAAAAACAAAGTGTCACCCCTACTATAATCACTATTGTGCTTTCCCCTTCATCATCATCATCATCATCATGTAGCTTCGGCCACTACTCTTCATTGTGTTTTCCCCTTATTTTAACTAAATTACAGATAATATAATCTGAATAATTGATAGTATACTATGTAAATGTAAACTGATCAAAAGTTACACAGCTACATGTATTTATTAATACTGAATACATTCAGTGGCTTAAATTTAGAGACTAGATAGATTTTACTCAATTTAAGCGGTCCGAAAACGAATGATACATAATTGAACCAATGAAAGCACATTATTTCGAGTATCGCATTTACAACTAATTGCTTTCACATTGTTCTATTGATCAGCTCAAATTTCATATGGTAAAAGTTTAATTAAGGATTCTAATGCATTCCATAGATTGCATTCCAATGCATTACAACTACTAAAACATTAGAGTAAACAAAAACCGGTCATGCTGTTCATGCAAAATGATTAACTATTTTTTTTTGTCAATTAATCAATTTCCGTAATGCGTTTGTTCGTGTTAGTAATATATAATTTGTTTTTTTTATTATTCGAAAATTGTGTGTTCTTTATACTTACTTGAGCTTACAATAAATTTATTTTAAATTAAAGCAACTTGGTTTCAAAGAGGAATGGTGCACATTAAATCATAATTCTAAACCTAATTTGATAGTTTTTTTTTTTTTATTCCAGAACAATTATTTCACTTTACCGACATTATTATTTCGTACAACAGTTAACAATTTGTGTGCACATTGTTATGTGTTATTTACTGTCAAATATATCTCATACATATATTTAATTATTTAAGGAAAACTTTGTTTACAGAGTGCAATTTAATAGGCGAAATGTACCAATAAAAAATACTAATCATAAGTTATAAATTTGACTTTTGATAATTATAATAAAAAACAAATTGTATACAAATTTATCTAAATCCTTCAGAGGGCAGCGGGCACAAGCTTGTGTTATTTTAAGATATTGCATTAGTATTTTATATTGCAATATGATTTTAAATAATTACTACTAAAATAAATAATAAACTGTTATTCGGTGGATTTACTTTTCTTTTGCTGAATAATATCCATTTAGTTGCAGGACATTATGAAAACAAAGAGTTTAAAGATTACTGTTGTTGGTAACATTTTCTATTTAAGCTTGTTTTAAAAAAAATTGAAACAAGTATTAAAAAAATCTTTATTAAAAACGGAAACTCTTAATCAACTCGAGTAATAAGCATCTGAATAAAAAAATAAATAAAACGTAAATCGAGGAAATAGACAGCAAGGCGATTCCAGGAAATAATTAGTGAAAACATGGAACTATAATTTGTTTAAAGGCCCACATGTTATTATCAATTTATAACATAATTATAATATCACTAATTCTTGATATCTATGGCATGTCATTACATCATAAAAAATTATTAAATAATAGTTTTAGAAACACCGGACAATGAAAGATGATCTCAATTAGTTTCAAGACAAACGAGGGTCCATTTAGGCACTCTTCTGAACTTTACAAAATACAATGTATGTATTACAAAGAAACAACTCAGAAACTATTAGCTACAAAGGTCAAGTTTTCATGTTTAACGTTCTATAGTGTTTAATGAGAAAATATATTTGTAGTACTTGAAGTTTTTGGAACTCTACTATTAATAATAAATATAGGCTCATAAGTATCTATCTCTATTTTCCAAAACTTTCCTTAGGAATTGTTTTCTCATTTTGTACTAATAAAACTACATGAACCCCGCTAGAACAACATAATAGAAAGTTAGTTTCGTGCTTGGCTACTTACTGCTGTTAAAGCTGCTCAAAGCTGTACGCAGTCTAGATGTAGTTGTTGTCGGACAATTTTGTTCGTCTGACCCGTCTGGACAATCGAGCTTACCATTGCACGTAGCCTCTGGCGGTAAACAAGTATCTGTAGGTGCGCAAAGCTTGTCACCTGGGTAGCATCTATGTTTTCTACCGGCGAATGCTTTTGTAAAAAAAAATAAAAATAAATGATAATAATAAAAACTATAAAAAAAAAAAAAAAAAGAATAATAAATTATATTAAAACGCTAATCCGTGTTTGAAAAAAAAATTGAAAGCAAAATAATAACTTTCAACATGTTAATAGAAAAATATTATCTATGGAACTATATCTAAGAAAAAAAAATTAGACACAATTCTACTTTTACTCAAGCTCATACTAAAGCAAATGTGGGTTGTCTTTTGGTCAGAAAGAGGCTTAGCCGACTAAATGATTATAACATTTATCATTTAACTTCAATAATATGTTGATAGGTAAATGTATCAATCTAAAACAATTTCCTGTACATTTAATTTCAACCACTAATAAATATTTGAGTTATTTGTTCAAAATACATATAAATTAGGGTTTTCTGTTCAATCGTTTTCACGGCCGCGCCATCAGTCCACTGTATAACACGTCTAGTACTTAATTGACTATCATATGATTATATTACCTCTGACCACGCGAAATCCTTTATCGATGACCGTTATACTAGGGTTATAATTTCTTGAATGATCAATGAAGTACTTAAGGAACGTTTCTAATGTTTCTTGTGGTTGACGGTCGTTGGTTTCAATATCTACAGTGACTTCTGTTAGGAAATTGTCTGCACTCGGTCTGAAAAATAAAATTTAAAACATTTTAGCAAGTTGAGATGGACAATTTTTATATTTTATAAAAGTTTCTGGGATTAAACGAAAATGATCAGTTTACGTTGCATAACAATTGTGTGGCCTTCACAACCTTAATCCAATGTTTCTTGGGTTTTGACGACTAAAAAAGGTTTTAGTAGAACAATGGGAAGTCACTGGTTTGCGGTTTGGGCCCAGAGGAACGGTTTCGTCGCTGCTAGTGTCATTCTTCAAAGGGAACGGTCTAGCAGTCGACGACCTACGTGAGATATGTCTTCTTTTAGTCCTGAAGGACACATTATACATAAACAATTTCCACTTGTATTCTACGTAAATGTTTTAATTTTTATTCAATCGTGTATCTATTGAATTATTTGTCTATTTATTCACTTATTCACTTATTCGTTTTTGTCTTAAAGTATCTATGTCTATCTATGTTTATCTGTACTACTATTACCATCACTGTTAATTATTGTTATGTACCATCGTATTGATTAAGTATCAGCTGTGTCGTATATGGCAACCTATGTTTTAGGCAGCCCGTTAGATTTTTTTTGAAATAAAGTTGCTTCTCTGAGTTCTCTCTCTAAAATATTAGTTACTAAAAAAATGTTAAGAATAAATGTACAAGTAATTTAAATTACTATAAAATTGGTGCCCCTTAATTTTACGTCACTTCTTCGGCCTTAGGAAACTTACTCCATTTTCCCTTGCCCCCTCTTTTTTTTGGCACAGTCCCTGATAATACCGTTGATTTAAGTGCTATAATTCAATTATTCGTATTTTGAATAACTCACTTGATTGCCACCACCCGAGGCTCGACATCATTTGTCCAAGATCGTAACGCCTCGTTCAACGCTAAACTGAAGTTGTTGGCTAACCAGCTGAAGGGTTCGCTGCTCGGATTCGCATAATCGCTGATGTATGGTTCGTTGACGGTCATGTACACACGATAAATGACTGTTATGAAAAATTAAATGTACAGATTAAATTGGTGTGCAGTAGAGAAAACATTGTTTTATGTTATAATATATTTTCTATCTCTTATAATATATTATTTATCTTGTCCTCTCCGCTGCACTCATCATAAATGTACATTCCGAATTTATTCTCTGGCCAATTTTCCACCCGTTTACATACATTCTGATCCACACAACTTTTCTAAACTATATCGACGCGATACATTTTACGATATTGGTGTATTTTTCAATAATTAAGATAAACTCAACTAAGGAGAAACTGCAACAAAATCGAACAAGTGCGACTACAATTTCACCTGTCCAACTTGGTTATCCTAGTTCATTTTTAATATTATATGTTTTAATTACTCAAAACTTGTGACGGGGCAAAGGGGTCGTAGGGAACTGTCGAAGTCGTGGTAGTGGTTGTCGACGCAATAGGAGTAGTGATATTTTGAATTGAGGTCTGCGTGGTCGTAAACGGACTCGTCAGAGATGTTGTGCTCTTGTTTTCAGTTTTGGGCGCTGAATGATTGTCTTCGGTATCTCCCGAACCCTCTCCATCGCCGGAATTGATGTTGTTATCGTCTTCGTCGTCAGTCATAGAAGTATCCCCTCGTTGTGTAGTGGAAACAGCTGCGGGTGTAGTGGTGCTAATGTCATCTGTTGTCCGTACATGTCTAAGCAATTAAAATAAAATAAAAAATAAAAATATATATACAAATAAATATTATATATATATTCAAATAAATGTGTTTTGGAAAAAATGCATTTTATACTCTTCATTGATTTGTATTGATGCAGAGTAATTATTAAAGATAAGATACCCGTTTCATCATAAAATTTTGTACTTTTTCTTATTAGAGACATTTAGTTAATATTTTACAATATGATACCACGCACTCCTCGTCTTGTTCTACATTTTAAACTTTAATAACATTAAAAGTAATTATCCACAACTAGCTATCGACCAGTTAAAATGTTCAGTAAATTATTCTGATTTTAAAGTTGGTTAAATATACGGTATTTACGTTACCATTTAAGTTTCAAAAGTTAATAGAGCTCTGAAAACACTAAATAAAGGTAAATGTTTAGTAATTTTATAATATTATTAAATCAACTATGGAACCAATATTTTTTATGAAGCAAATAGTGGAAAAGTACAGAGAGAAAAGAAGAAAACTGTGTATGGTATTTATAGATACAGAAAAGGCATATGATAGAGTTGTTCCCAGAGAGGTTTTGAGGTGGACGTTAAGGAAAAAAGGACTTCCGAGGGTGTATGTGAAAGTAATAGAAGAAATGTATGAAGGGGCAATTACAAGAGTGTGTGTGTGGAGAAACTGTAGATTTTAGTGTAAGAGTAGGTGTGCGTCAAGGTTCAGCGTTGAGTCCTTACTTGTTCAGGGGGAGGTGCCATGGCCTATGATGTTTTCGGATGACGTAGTGTTAGTGTGGGAAAGTCCGAAAGAATTGGGTGAGAGCCTTTAAGAGCGGAGAGAGGCGCTTGAAGGGAAAGGACTGAGGATTAGTAGGAGTAAAACGGAGACCATCGTGTTTGATTTTGTTGAAGGTTATTGGGTAAGACAGGTAAGGCAGATGGGTGATGATGAAGTAAAATGGTGGGTACGAGGAGGATGTGAAAAAATAGAATAAATTGTGGATGCCTATAAGATTGAAAGGTAAATTGTATAGGTCGGTAGTGACGCCAGCAATGTTATATGGGTTGGAATGTTGGGCAGTAGATAAGAAAACGGAACAGATAATGAGTGTAGCGGAGATGATAATGTTATGGTGGATGAGTGGAGTGACTAGGGAAGATAGAATAAGAAATGAATACATAAGGGGCAGTCAAGGAGTCGCATCAATTGTGGAGAAAATGAGAGAGAGGCAGTGAGAGGTGTTATGAAGATGAATGTAGAGGGAAAAAGAGGAAGAAGAAGACCAAAAAAAAGATGGGTGGACGGAATACAGAGTGATATGATGATAGCGGAGGCGATTGTAGAAAACCGAGCTCTATGGAAGCGTAGGACTAGGGTGGCCGATAAAGAAGATCGTTGCCACTGTCTTAAGATAAAATTCAAATTTTATTTATTACACATTATGAATGTTATGGAAAAAAGTATTCTACTATGCCATATGGTTTTCTTTCGACTATTTTTACATTTGAAAAAAAAACGGGGGGAAAATGTAAAACTTAATTGTTCAAACGGCGTTTGGTGTAGGCAATTTAGCACCATCGATGGTTGTGGTCGTTGGATGATAAAATATAATATGACTGCTATGAAACATCTATACAGTGTTGCTATCATTATTTAATACATGTATATAACTTTCAATGTTTAGGAAATATTAGACAATACTTGTACATCTATCAAATACGCATCGAAAAGATGATTTAAAAGTGATTTATAACTTTCAGTTATAATATAATGTCTGTAGGCCTGTAATCTCCTCCTCCCCCTTATGCTTCGACCCCACTATGCCCTGACTCCACTTATTTTAGATACCAAAAAAAATTATAGCGCCGTAGTTTTAAGCTGACAAATATCTAAGCTTCTTTAGTGTTTTTCTCGATTTTGAAGGGAATGGGGTAAACTTTTTAAATTGTTTACCTATTTAAGGTACATTCCAGGTACGGTTTTTGATCAAAAGACTTGCTACAAGAATAAATTGGTTCAGTGGTTTAGAATATATCGTGAATCCGGTTAGGACACAAAAATAAAAACCCATCATTGTAAAAACAATACCTCGGCTCTGCATTGAAGTTAAAACGTACTGCTATACATAATTTTGTATGTATATTTAAATTCATGTTATCAATTATACATCAATGCATATGAAAGAAATTGTTAATATTTAATTCAAATAAAATTTTTTTTTTTATAATTGAACTACTTAGTGCACTTTAGAACACTTAGTGGAGGCAGTTGTTACTTCCTTTTTTCTTCAACGATTGCTCCTTATTATTAATGTACGTCTTAGATCTACCCTAAGGATAAAACTCCGCTTCTGGCAAACTTTAAAATCTTTCCAAGCTTTCTAAAATGTTAATAACAAATATGATAAAATCGTATGTATTCACCTTAGCAATGAAGTGGAATCTGATTGTTCGGTGGTTTTGGCAGATGTTGTGCTAGTTGAATCGTCAGCATCGGACCAAAACCCGAAGAGGTCTCGCTTAACCCGTTTTATGGACTGATGGACAATATCTACAAGATTATTGTGTATATTGTCATGCCATTTATCATATAAGATGTTCTTTTCAAGTTGGTCCGCGTCTTCAAATACTAAATCGTTGTCAGTCTGTGGAAAAAAAAAACAAATGTTAAATATTTTTTAGTCATAGTACTATTGATAAACGTTGACAAGCCAGAAAAATAGCAAAAGCACTTTCCCCAGCAAGCATGCAAACGTTTTCTTTATTTCACTTTTTCAACCAGTTGTGGGACTTAAGGTCTAAAAATTAAATTAAACTACAGATATTTGTACCTACAGTGAGACTATAATATAGTTTTCATTAAAACTGGTTAGGTTAGGTTAGGCACTGATTATTCACTTACTTATAATTACTAGCAAAGTTTTAAATTTATCCTCAACTGTATACTATGACAGTTAAACTACAGATTGTAACTATAACGGAAAATATGTCAAACTAGCATTTACAAACTGAGTTGCTATACAAAACGCAGGGGTCCCTCTGGTATTAAACGCTGAATCTTTTCAAAAGTGCTCTCCGCCACTAGATTGCGCTCTTTTATACATATAATATAAAGAATTTCAAACGTTAACCATCTAATCACACTGTATACATTTTTAAAACAAGTATTTGAAATAAGATCTTTTGAAATATTTCAGACCCCATGATAATTGTATTATTTAAATACAAACACATTATCAGTGTTTATTTTTTATTATTAACAGTGTATAGTTTTTTTCTTCTTTGGGACTTGATACAGGTAGATAAACAAGTATGAAATTATCATTAATACAACACTCAGCCGTATTAAAAATTGCAGACATTTAAAATTATAAATTACACATAAAATCTGCATTTCAAAATATTATTAAATGTCATAAGGAAGTCATGATATCTTTATTGGTAACTGATTTTTCCTTCCCTTTTCAACACGCTTCTAGGAAATCAGACCAAAAAGCCTTGCACATTTGGTTAAGAGTAGGATGGACCATTTCTATAATAAAATACGATTTTGTTGGATCTTTCACTTATAGTAAGTATTAATAGAAACTGTTTTTTTTTTCATATATCGCAAAATTACACATACTATATTTAAATAGCATTAGATGAGAACAGTTAAGATAAACGGCACAATTGACAGCAACTGCCAATAAAATGTTACAAACTCTTAGAAACACCTTAATGCCCGGACCGTTTTAAACGAAGCATGCGGCTCCTCGTCTAAACCACCACAATATGATTTAGTTTCAATTGGTTTTAATCGTTTTCAATCATCGATTACACGTCGCACTTATGCAGTCGCAACATTGATTCATTAAACACGAAACATAACAATTTAACTGACTTTTTCAATTACTTCAAACGAACTCAATAAGCTATAAGAGTATTGAAATGACTATTTAAATGAATTAGGTCGTTTGACGGGTCACACAAACTGGATAAATAAACTCAACTATCCACCAATGGAACTTCAACTTGATGTCTGCAGTAACCACGCACTTCTAAAAGTCTTAGTTTATGATTTTACACAGGGTGTGTGACGTGTGACCTATATCACATTACCTATCTATTGTTTTTTTTTTCCAAGTGCACTAAAATGTTTTACTTGTTTTTCTCCGCCTACAATATTGACATAACATACATCAAATAATGTAATACTCAAAATGTTTGAGATAAAATATAGATAGTTGAATTCACCGTTAATTAATGGTGTAAAAATCCATCAATATAAACGAGTACAGTTTTTAACTGATTTAATCGTATCGGCTGAAAGGTCGATTTTTAATTTAGCTACCTATTATAAAATTAGTTAGATTTATTAACAAAACTATGAAAATGAAGCGATTAAATATTTTTAAAAACTAAACTAAAAAATCGGACTTTTAACGCCATATTGAAGTTACATTTTTTTTTTTAATCTTCAAAACATATACTTAGAAAGTGATTTCGTACTTTAGTCTTTATTTGTATACAGTTCAGGACTTTCCGTTCCCCGAATGAGTAATTTTTCAGAGGATGTGGTCCGTCTGACCAGGTTTATGGCCTTACAGACTATTTCATAAGATTTATAGTTTTAGTCATTGAAATTGGCCTCGATCAATTGGCGTTGGGGAATGGATTAAATCCGTAGGATCTTATTCAACAATTTTACACGCGCGAGTTACTTGTTTTATGAACTTAATCTGCTAAACACCGTCAAAAAATCTTCTCCTGTAAGACGAGTTGGTGTGACAAACTACACTATATGTTGTGGTTTAACTTATTTTATATTACTACAGTGTTGTACACATAATTAAGTAAAAAGAATTACAAAAATAGTACTTGCTACTGGTAAAATAGTACTAAACTATAAAAAAAAAAAAAAATCGTTTACCAACACCCTGTAGTGTTTATTATGCATCATTGATAGGTCTACATTGGCAACGGAATAAGTTTGACGCCTGCCAGGCGCCGTTTAAACGCTATCTCTCATTTAGGTATAATTTGTACTAATTTATGACGAGGCGACTGAGAGACGGTTATAATATTGTGTTTTTTTTTTTAGATGGAAGCGGCAAGTGACAATTAATGAACTCCTAATTGAAAATAGGTCTTGCTTTGTTAATATTATTTGTCGAAATAATTAATTCTTTTTTTGAACAGTTTCAAATTTGAATTGTGAATATTATCAAGCCAAGGTCTATATTATATGGGCTATCGACACAAATTCAATAAAAATGTACCGCATTCTAGGATATAATAAATGCGTCATCACTGAGAACATTTTGTTTCTAATAACCTAATTAGGTCTGCTTATAATAATTAATTAAACACGAATTGCTATTAAAATACTTGGTCGGTTTTTGAATTTGTAGGAACGAAACTAAGTTCCGAGAAAACTGTTATGGAAGTTAAGATGATATACATCGAATTAACTCAAGGGAAAACCGATGAGCCCATCGCTGATGACTGAAAAGAGCATTTCAGTAGTTTCTTCATTGCCTTGAGTGGTTGATGCGGTCTGGTCCCTCAGGTAAAGGGTTTTCTCGGTAGACCTTCACCCGAACAAACGATTAACTGGTTAAAAAACACAGCAGCGTGCTGCTTGGGCATATGTCAACTTCCTATAATAAACTACACCGCATTATAAAATGTTAAGACCACTTTATATAAATAAATATAGTTCAATTTTTTTATTATCGAGTACAGAGAGATTAGGTTTCACTTGAAAAAGCTTAATTTCCCTCATACCTTCATGCATTTTGGTTCTGACAATTTAAAAAAAAAACAACAGTATTTACAATAACAATTGTAAAAATGTATAGTTTATTCATAATTAAATAAAAAACGTAGAACAAAGCTCGAAATTGTGTAACTGTTTACAATTTTCCGTTTGTAAAATGTTTACCCGCTACATTTTTATTGACCAATAGTAATTTAATTCATAAATCAATAATTATAGAGTGTATTTTTCTGGCCAAACTGATACTAAATTACAAACTGTAAACATCTTGTAAAGTTTGTCACCTGTTTAAAAAAGAAAAGAGTAATCTTATAAAAGATAATTTTGATAAAGCCTTTTTTATTTTTTATTAAGAAAAATGTATTTTCAATCTATACAATTTGTACATTAAGTAAATGTGATGAAAAAGAGTAACAAATAGTGATTATGGGAAGACATTCAGCAGTGCCATCAGACTAGAAAATTATTATTGTTTTTTTTATATTTATATAAATTAATTTAAAAGGTATCTAGGCCATTTTCTTTTGAGTCTTCTAGGTGCATTATCAGAAATTGGACTGAGGGTAGTAGATTTGATAAAGCAAACAAATAATTTGAATTATCACTAAGTAAATGACTTATGTATTGAAAAATACAATACATTTTTTCAAGTATTTAAAATTGATTGTGAATGTAATGGAATATATAAATATACATTTTGTGCCTTGCCCACAGTGGAAATATTCAAACACAACATTAACGTTTTACGACTGTGTTCACGTTTATTAAGTAATAGCTAAATGAAAATTATTTACAGGAGTGCCATAATCTAAAAACTCTGGGAGAGACCTCGCGTCTAGACTAATGCGACATCATAAAACATATGCATGTGATAGATCTGACTTCTGCACGGTCATAAAAAACATGACTCAAACATCAGAGGCGTTATTTAAACTGTAATTGGAACTATTGTTAGGTATGGAAATATATACATGTAAAAATTAACAGTTGCATAAAGGTTATTGTTAATTTTTTACTTTTTTTTTGCAGTTGCTAGTTATATATTTTTTTTCATTGCGCTACATTTTAGCATACCCTTACTCTCAGATAAAAATTAATGACACATTAAATAGGTTGCCATAATATATTGGTATGTTTAACGGCTTTGAGGCGGTTTGAGAACTGCTGTTAAACATATTTTAAAGGTATATTCTTGTGGTCCTTAAGTCGTACAGCAGCACTGAATACAATTTAGGTTAGTTTCATGCGTCCCACAATTATTGAAATATATTACACTAAGGTTTTTTTTGTTTTTTAGGCGAATTAATAATAATAATTAAACATGTACACCAAGACTGTGTGGTGACTCATGTATGTAATTGCGCGAGTGACATAACAGCAATTATGAACGACGCCTTAGCTCGATGAACGAAGCATGAACCCCATAAGACCGCCTACATCCGATTATGCATATGGTCAGATCATTTAAAAGTGCAAGCCATATACTTTAATCAAAAAAATTCACACAAAAATTAATATAAATTTTATAATATGCATAGTCATTAAAATGTTATGACTAATACCGGGTTATGCAAAAAACATAATGAACTAAACAATTTATTAAAATTTAATGGACCAATCATTGGCCACCGAAAAATGTTTTAAGAACTACTAAGTGTCTATTGATTCATTTAAACTTTAATGAACGGCCTAATGCGCGAGCCAGTGTTTTTGATAAAAATTTGTATTACACAACACATTTTAAAAATCAATAACATTCCCATAATTTTCTATAAATTTTCATTATTACAGGGCTTGTAACCTGATTGCAAATAGTTATTTTAAATACCAGTTAAAATCTTTGCAAAATTGGCACAATAATGTAACGGCTGGCTATGTTTGGAA